TTGCAGCTGCTTTTTGTTGTGCAGTAATATTTGCTGTTACATCAAACATCTGTTCTTTAAAGACATTGAGCTGTTCCAGCAGAGGGCGCATGACCTCTGTCATCGCCTTCGTCGTCTCACTGGTTGTTTCCGGCACCTTTGGGGACTCTAGTTTTGCTTTTAAAAGTTTCTCTTTGTCTCTGTCCCTCTTCCCTGCCATCTTTTTCTCGTTTGTTTGCTTTCACAATAAATTTTAAAGTCTCTGAATATGCGCTTATCTGTATAGCTCGCTGAGTGAGTACTTCTGGGCAATTTCTTGTTTATTCTTCCACTCCCTCCCCTTTCGCTTCAATGATTTATGGCCATGGGAGGCGTCCCTCCCATCACTCGCTTCTGCCGTTTTGCCGCTTCGGGTAAGGAGTGTCTTTTCGTTTAAAAATCAGTTCTCATTTGACTCACGTTCATAGTTGGTGTTCCGACCCCTCTTCATCATCATTTCAAATGCCTGATCTCCTGAGCTTGACCCGGCTAGCTTCACTTGTACCATCAGGTCTCTCAGCTGGACGGACCACTGGAGCAAGGGGGAGCCTCGATTCTCTGGCATTCGGCCAGAGAAGAGGCTACCCCCTCAAAGCCCCTTGGCCAGGAGCCCTTCCCCGGGCTCCTGGGGGGGGGTATGAGCCTGCTCACCCCCTCCGTCTGCCAGAGCATGGAGACACCCCCGGGAGGTCCAGGAGGTGAGTCCGTGAGTGTGCCGCCATCAACCAGAAGTCGAATCAACACAATCTTGAAGTACTGAAGGCTGCAGTAAAATAACATGTTTAATAAACTACCTAAAAACATAAAGACATTTTCTTTTACATTAAGGAACATTTTACATCTCATAAACTCACCAATGTTTCAAGATTCTTAGTACTAGTTCATATACTATATTGGTGCCACGCTATTGCATTTAAGTTCTAAAAGAAAACAGACAAGCACAATACACATTTTACAGTTCTCTGATAATGTTATACAATATAAAGAAATCTGAAGTGTGAAAAACATATCGAGAGTTACTGACCTGGTTACTGGGAATCGTCAATATTAAAATATAATGTGACTAGGTCTACAATACATTTCAAATGATTGAAAAAATTGTAAAATTATACTCAGTGATTTAGTGCTTTACTTAGTCATATACACTGTTGCAAATAGGTTATACCACAGCTGATATTCAGCGTGTGGGGAGATGGCAGCTGTCTGACTACAGAGGCTATGTAAACCCCTTTGCTGTTTTGTGATTGTTCCATTGTTGTGTTTGGTGGTTCATTGTTTTTTTCTTCCTAGATGCTGTCGTCTGTAGAAGGAGGAGATGGATTCTCATCTGCGGACACAGGTATATCTTTTGGGCAGCTCATTGGGCCAATAGATCAGCCATTGGCACTCAGCTGAGCCTCAGCCAATGAGCCATGGTTGAATGGAGGGGGCACCATGACTTACACTGGCTGGGCCTCCTCCTCCTCCTTCTGTTTGGGAGTGCTGGCTTTTCATCCAATGTTTTGGTGATCCATTTAGGTGGTAATGACTTGGGATTCCTGAAGGGAAAAGCCCTAGTCTTGCAAGCCCGGGATGATTTGAAATCTATTCAGTGCCAGTGGCCAGATACAATAATGGTGTGGTCTTCCATGATTCCATGCCTAGTTTGGCATAACACTTTGGATCCCAGAGATATCAAGAGAGCTTGGCGCAAGGCCAACAGTGAAAGAACATCGCAGTAATACCATAAACAAGGTGGAGTTAGAACCAGAGGTAATTTCGGGGGGATCAAGGGGGATCACAGTTCCCCCGGGTGAGGTACTGGGGGCGGGGCACATCACGAAGCCCCGTCCCCTGCTTCTGGCCGCCCCGCTTCTGGCCCTCATTCAGCCAGGAAGAGGCAGGAGAAGAGGGAGGGGAAGCCCCTTCACGGGGCTTCCTTGCACTCCTGCCGGCCCTT